GTCAACCAACTCAGCGACCAGAGCAGACGCAGCCGAGGACTCAAAGGTCGGGTCAGTGACAACTGTAGCGAGGAGACGCGTAACAGTGGGACTGGCAGCACGACGGGAGTCAGACTCCGGGTCAGGAAGAGTAGGAAGAGAGGACGCAGGAGGAGACGGCAGCGGGACACGCTGCGGAGCAGTGGAGGGACGCAGAGTCATGTAGTGAGTGCCAAGGACAGGAGGAGGACGCTCACGTGGGACACGACGACCAGTGCGAGCAGTACGAACAGGCAACGCAGGACGAGACTCAGGCTCACGACGCTCTGTAAGACCTCCTGTGGGACCAGCGTAAGGGGAGGGAGCAGGGAGAGGCGAGGCAGGCGGTAACTGTGACTGCGGCTGGACAGGCAGAGGACACTCGACTGACGGAGGAGGACTAGGAGGAGGAGCCTGACCAAGAACCTGCTGAAGGAGCGGTACGAAGTACGGTCGCGGCCGCGCAGCGTCTCCAGAAGCAGCAGGGACACCAGTGGCAGCCCCAACGCCCGAGTCCTCAGCACCAGCAGCAGCTCCAACGCCCGGGTCCTCAGCACCAGTAGGAGCTCCAACGCCCGAGTCCTCAGCACCAGCAGCAGCGCCACCGGTCGGGTCCTCAGCACCAGCAGCAGCTCCAACGCCCGGGTCCTCAGCACCAGCAGCAGGGCCACTGGTCAGGTCCTCAGCACCAGCAGCAGCGCCACCGGTCGGGTCCTCAGCACCAGCAGCAGCTCCAACGCCCAGGTCCTCAGCACCAGCAGCAGGGCCACTGGTCAGGTCCTCAGCACCAGCAGCAGCTCCAACGCCCGGGTCCTCAGCACCAGCAGCAGGGCCACTGGTCAGGTCCTCAGCACCAGCAGCAGCGCCACCGGTCGGGTCCTCAGTACCAGCAGCAGCTCCAACGCCCGGGTCCTCAGCACCAGCAGCAGCACCACCGCTCAGGTCCGCAGCACCAGGAGCACCACTACGAAGACTGCAGCGCCGCGTGTACCACTCGCGGATCACCTGAATGGGGGGGAGCTCCTGGGTAGGAGGGGAAGTACCGGGACGAGCTCCAGAAGCACCTCTCCGGAGGCGGCAGTACTCGAGGTACCTCTCCTGCAGCTGCTGGGAGGAGAGGGCTCCTCCAGGTGGAGCACGCTCAGGCTCAGCACCCCCAGACTCAGCACCCCCAGTCTCAGCACGTCCAGGCTCAGCACCCCCAGGCTCAGTACCTCCAGGCTCCGCACCTCCAGGCTCCGTACCTCCAGGCTCCGTACCTCCAGGCTCAGCACCCCCAGGCTCCGCACCCTCAGACGCAGCACTCCCAGGCTCAGCACCCCCAGACGCAGGACGCGAGTCAACAGCTACCTCGACAGGCTCACCCGGGTCTACCTGGGACACACCTGAGGGAGCGGCACCCTGAGGGGGGAGGGGGTCTGGTACCTCAGCACCTGGAGCGAGGAAGAGAGGCGGGGGGGGGAGCGGGGCAGTGCGGTAGGGGAAGAGGCGGTAGAAGGGGACGGACTCGTCAAAAGTGACGTCCTGAGAGGCCAGAACCCGGCGCGAGGTGACGTGGTAAAACTGCCATCCAGGCGCGTCGGGAACAAAGCCAAGAAAGACACAGGGAACAGCGCGACGCGAGAGCTTGTCCGCGGACGTATCGCGGACAAAAGCTCGAGATCCCCAGACCCGGAAACGCGACGCATCGCCAACCTCTCCCGTCCACCGTAGAGTCGGGGAAGTCTCCGGCAAGGAGACACGGGGCCAGAGGTTGAGCTGATGCGCTGCGTACCGGACCGCAAACGGCCACAGAAAGTGGGGAGCAGCCGCATGGGTCAGGGAGGTACGAGCGACCTCCATGACCAAGCCAATGCGGCGCTCAGCGACCCCATTCTGCTGTGGAGAGGCCGGAAGCGTGTACGACTGCTCAATGCCATGCTCAGCACAGTAGGCTGCCAAGAGGTCGGAGGCAAACTCACCACCTCTGTCAGAGTGCAAGCGCAGGACAGGAAAGTCCGAGTGAAAGCGCTCGCCTAGCTGGAGACGGGCTCGGCTGATCCAGGGGATCAAAACACCAGGGACGTCACCCTTGGCGCGCAAGGGGAAGACCGTGGTGTAGCGCGAGTAGTCGTCAACAACTATCAGGAAGTATCTCTCCTGACCCTGACCACGGACGCGGGCTGGGCCCCACACGTCCATGTGGAGCGTCTGCAGGGGAGCTGTCGTCGGGGGAAAGGAGGAGGAGTGAGGAGCGGCGCGCTGCCGCCCCTCGACACAGGGAATGCAGTCAGGAGCAGGGGAGTCAGGAAGGGGAGGGAGCACCCTGGGAAGACCAGCAACAAGGTCCCGTTTGTGCATGGCCCGCAGGCGCTGCACAGACGGGTGACCAAGGCGGTGGTGCCAGAGGACGGTGTCGTTCGCCAGAGAGCGACACGAGCAGGGGGCGGACAGCTGACCTGACGCTGACGCAGACGCAGCTACCTGAGGGGACTCAGTGGTCAGTGTGTACAGGTCAGACCCCGGCTCTCGAGTGAAAGTAGCCAGGTGGCGGCCCGTCCGAGCACACGTGCAGTGAGTCACACGCTCGTAGGCAGGGGTGAACTGGTGAACACCCGAGTCCTGGAGCGCACTACCTGCCACCAAGTTCGTGGAGAACGAGGGGAGATAGAGACCTGAGAGCTTGCCGGACGGAACCGCTGGACACGGAAGGGTGGTGGAGGAGGTCGCAAGGACCGGACCCCCAGAGGGGTCAGCAAGAGAGACAGCAACCGGCCGAGCTAGAGGCTCAAGGACAGTGCGGTCACGAAAGAAAGAGCGAGAAGCACCTGAGTCAAGTGTGAAGGTGTGCAGTGCTGCAGTCGACTCAGTACCAGGGGGCACAGACGCAGAAGCACCTAGAGCAGCAGCTGCAGTAGTACCTGTGGAAGCAGACACACTAGCACCTAGAGCAGCAGCAGGGCTGGCCTGAATGCCCGGGTCGGGCGGAACACGCAAGTACTGAGCACCCTCTCCACTAATAGACATCGCATACATGGCAGTGAGAATAGCATCAAAGTCAAGTGCCCAAATATCAACACCCTTCCTGAGCAGATCAGCCCAGCGCGGCAGCTCACCCCCACCAGGAAACTGAGTGCGCCACGCATCGTTGAGGCGGGCGAAGCAGCGCTCCGTCTGGTGCGGCCCCCCACACGTCTGGCCAGTGCGGTCACCTGTACGAATAACGTACTGGCAGGTGACGCTGCGCCGCGCATACCACTCACGGGCGGCCTGAAGGGTCGGGGCAGGCTGCTGACTCTGACCGCCCCCCGGGCCTCCACGACCACCACCCCCTCCGCCTCCGCCCCGGCCACCTCCACCCCTGCCGCTGCCACGACCACCTCCGCCTCCGCTGCCACCTCCGCCCCTGTCACCACTCCCAACACCGCTGTCACCTCCACCACCGCCGCCACTAGCCTCTCCAGTCGCACCTCCACCGCCACCACCTCCACCCCCGCCTCCTCCGCCACCACCCCCACTCCTGCCACTCCTGCCCCTGCGTCGTCCGCCTGAAGCAGACGCAGCCCCGACTGCTTATCGGAGTTGACTGCTTCGCGTCTAGCCCCGATTTTCGGAATCCGCACGTTCGGCCGACATCAACGATGCCGAGGCTCCTCGCGTCGCCTTCGGCTTTTCCCCTCGCCAAACCTGCGCCCAACCTCGCTCGCCCGAGGTTCCCTCCCAGCTAGACTAGCCACTACATTAGCACGTGCCTTTCGTTGTATTCTCAGGACGCGGCACCTGTTTTTATTTTGCCAGGATCGAGGCCTTACATCGATCCTGACACATCGATCGGCACACCGATGTGCCCACACTGCAAATTTGCAGTGGGGTAGACACATCGAGCTATAGGTGCCAGGATCGAAATTGCAGGATCGGGCAGGCTGGAGCTGCCTCGGAATACACCAACACACTGCAACGCGCAGCCAATCAGGGCAGAGCGTGGTTGGTCGCCCAGCAATTTCATTCGCAACGACTCCATATTTTTTTTGCCTGCGACCGTGGGCGACGCCGATCGATCCCGGCTGTCATCTGTGGCTCGATGTGCTCCCCCGCCAACCCAAAAGCACGATCGATATGTGCACCGCGGCACATCGATCGTGCGAGCTGCAGGTGCCACCATTTTAGGTACCCGTGTACTGTACATTTTCGAAGTCATGCGAAAACCGGATACCAGGCATTGGCAATATCGCCAGTGCACTGTACAAGCGGCACATCGATCCCCTCCCACGATCGATCCTGGCAAAATGAAAAGAGGTGCCGCGTCCTCAGTTCTTGTAATCACAATCTCGTTATTCGTTAATATGCGCACTCTCCTTTTACAACTCATAACACGCGCCCTAAGAATGTGTGGTATATGCCATAACAACAGACGGAACCCTGCCTCTCGTATCCACCTCTTCATTTCTCTGTGCGCTTGTTTAGAGGGGTCGGACTGCAACCATGGATTCTTCGCCCTCCTATTTCTTGGATCGTCTCACGCGGAATGCACCCGCCGTAAGCACCGTTTTCCCTCCAATCTCTGTCATTCTGTGCCCTCTCGCTCGCTGCCCTGCTGCCGTCTAGCTGCCCATTCGCCCTCGCGGCACTCGCGCGGCCTCGTCGCGCGGAGCTGCCGAGCAAGACGGTGTGGCGCGATGCTTCGCGTGCTCGTTCGTGCCAGTGATGCCCCTAGCTATGAGCCTCGTGCTTTCGCATGCGTCGTGTGCCACTGCCGCGCGCGATGTGAGCGCCGGGCGGGAGATTATCGCGGTCATCCGCTGCGCCTGCTCCCCTCGTGCGCGCACCGGCTCTTCCCCAAGCTCTCTCCACTCTCCTCCCTCCCCTGTTCCGCGCTTCGCCGTCCCGCCCCGCGCCCTGTGTGCATCCTCTCCCCGCGCCTTTCATCCGCCGTTTTCCCGTTTCCCGTCGTTCCGCATCCCATTTCCTCCCCCCACACCCCCCGTGGCGGGCGGGGCGAGCAGGAGGAGCGCGAGGACGAGGGGCAGGCGGAGGCAGCCGTGCCGGTGGCGAGGGAAGTGAGGCGCGCCGAGGTGAGCTGTTGCACACCAAGGGTTAAAAGAACCGCTGCGCCTCTGAACCCCTCCCATTTCCGCCCAGTGCGTTTCGGTTGCTTGAGCACAGAGATGATGCGGGTGGACGTTGTGTGGGGAGGAGGGGGGATGGGCCACGGTGGGGGCAGTCACACGGTGGGATGAGTGGGTAGGAGAGCAGGGCAGGGGGATGAGATTCAGAGTGGCGCAGCGAAAGGTGGCGCATCGAAAGGTGGTGCTCCGAAAGGTGGTGCAGCGAAAGGTGGCGCATCGAAAGGTGGTGCAGCGAAAGGTGGTGCAGCGAAAGGTGGTGCCGCGAAAGGTGGTGCCGCGAAAGGTGGCTCAGTGAAAGGTGGCTCAGTGAAAGGTGGCTCAGTGAAAGGTGGTGCTGCGAAAGGTGGTGCCGCGAAAGGTGGTGCTGCGAATGATGGTGCTGCGAAAGGTGGCTCAGTGAAAGGTGGTGCATCAACAACCGTGGTGAAGACATGCGCACATGTGTTGCTCCCCCCCTCTCCCCGTGCCCTGCAACCGTGCGTGGCAGGCCGTGAGCTTCCTGCCCTTCCCCACTGAAGCCATCACGCTGGAGCGCGGTCTCACTCTGCTCAAGGTAAGTCCTCATGCCTGTCAATGGCCGTCAATGGCAGACAATGGCCGTCAATGGCAGACAATGGCCGTCAATGGCAGTCAATGGCCGCCAATGGCAGTCAATGGCAGTCAATGGCAGTCAACGGCAATGGCAGTCAATGGCAGTCAATGGCAGTCAATGGCAGTCAATGGCCGTCAATGGCAGACAATGGCCGTCAATGGCAGTCAATGGCCGTCAATGGCAGTCAATGGCCGTCAATGGCAGTCAATGGCCGTCAACGGCCGTCAATGGCAGTCAATGGCAGTCAATGGCAGTCAATGGCAGTCAGTGGCAGTCAATGGCAGTTAATGGCAGTCAATGGCCGTGAATGGCAGTCAATGGCCGTCAATGACTTACCTCCTCACCCACCATGCCTCCGCGCCCTCAGGGCAAGGCGTCCACAACCATGCTGGTTGGGACAACGTCGGACTTGGTGCCGGGCAAGTATGAAGGTGAGCTGAGCTGAGGTGATGCATGAGGGTTAGGTGATGCATGAGGGTGAGGTGATGCATGAGGGTGAGGTGATGCATGAGGGTGAGGTGATGCATGAGGGTTAGGTGAGTGTGAAAGTGGGAACTGGAACCAATGACTGATTGGAGTAGAAACAAAGCATACATAGTTGGAAGAGAAGCTTGGAGGGGAAAGGTGAGTTTGACCATTGGTTGGGTTGGCCTCACTTTGGGAAGTGAGGGAACCTTAGGTCAAGTGGGTTGGGTTGGCCACACTTTGTGGAAGTGAGGCAACCTCAGGCCCACTTGGGTTGGGTTGGCTCAACTTGTGGGAGTGAGGCAACCTCAAGCCAAGTGGGTTGTATTTGGGGGCTCCACCAAAATTGGATGGATTGGCACCCCAAAGTACTAGACTACACCCAAAGTTGGGTGAAGTCCCAACCCAACTGTTAGGCCCGCTGGCCTAAATCCGCTAAAGAATTAGCGGGGTCGACTAAGTCGAGGATGAAGCGCGGCGGAAGACTTTGGCGAAAGAGAGTGTTGGCGAAATAGGCGAAGAAGTAACTGAGTAATTGAAGAAGAGTTGAATGAGAATTGGTTGATATGAGGGAATACAAGCAAGGTTTATATAGCATGCAAGAAGGAAGGTTGGAAAGTAGAATGTGGGACTAGGAATTGGAAGCAAAGAAAGTAGAGTGCCACGTGGCACTAGGAAATCTAGGAAGATAAGGATAAGGGTGAGCTGGAAAGTACTGTTCAAAGTGAACAGTAAATCCCCCCTTAACACTACCCCCCTCCCAAGGAGGCGACGTCCGCGGCGCCTGCAGACTGAAGGTACGCTCGGAGGCAAGCGTTGTCGGGAGACAGCGAGGACGAAGGAACCCAGCTGTCGTCGGCTGCATCGTAACCACGCCAACGAACCAAGAAGTCGATGAAAGAGACACCTCCCTGCAGACGGCGACGGTGCCTGAGGATGCGCTGGATCTGGTAGTCGGGCTCGTCGGTGTCAACAGCTACCGGCAGTGGAGTGCGATCACGGCCCGAGAAGGTGGCGTTGGGATCGGTGTAAGGCCGAAGGAGAGACACGTGGAATGACGGGTGCATGCGGAAATGAGCGGGAAGGCGAAGGCGGTATGCGACTGGACCAAGTGCGCGCTCAATGACAAATGGACCAATGAAGCGTGGGCGAAGCTTGCTGTCCTGTGGCAGTCGGAGGTTGCGGCTGTCCAAAAGAACACGGTCGCCAACTGCGAACGACACCTCACGACGACTGCGGTTGGTGGTGCGTGCCATGCGTGCATTTGCAAGCTCAAGGTGCTTCCTCACGTGGTCGTGAATGAAGGTGAGATGCTGGTGGAAGTTGTCCGCACGAGGGACGGTGGGTGTGAGATCGACACGAGTGGGGACATTGGGGTGCTGACCGTACAGTGCAAAGAACGGTGACATGCCTGTGGCGGAATGATGCGTGTTGTTGTAGGCGAACTCAGCCATGCTCAGCTTCTTGTCCCATGCGGCTGCGTCGTGCATCGTGATGCTACGAAGAATCTGCTCCAAGGTCTGGTTCACGCGCTCAGTCTGTCCGTCTGTCTCTGGATGGTACGCAGACGACATGGCTAAGCGAGTCCCAAACAGTGCGAAAAGCTGCTTCCAGAACTTCGAGGTGAATCTAGGGTCGCGGTCGGAAATGATGGAATCGACGTTATCTACGAACAGCGTCGCGGCTTCCTCTGCTGTGACCTGACCGTGCGTGGGGATGAAATGCGCTGCTCGAGAAAACTTATCCACTACCACGAAGATCGCGTCGTGACCCCTAACTGTGCGCGGTAATGCCATGATGAAGTCCATCGTAACTACCTGCCAAGGGCGGTCGGGCGGTGGAATCGGCTGCAAAAGACCTGCTTTGCGCTGGCGGGAAGATTTCGTACGCTGACACGTGTCGCACGAGCGAATGTAATCCTCTACGTCTGCTGCAAGCCCTGGCCAGTAGTACGTGCGACTAAGCGTCTTAGCCGTCTTGTCTGCTCCAAAGTGACCTGCACTAACTACGTCGTGCGCCTCTGAGAGAAGGAGCTGTCGAAGAGGGCGGTAGGCTGGAACCCAAATCCGTGTGGTGCCCTTCCGTATGTAAACACTACCCTGCACCTCTGCTCCTGCGGGCGGCTGCGGTGTGAAGTCGGGATCTACTGTGTAACCGTGCTCGAAGAGTGCTGTGAGAAGTGGATGGCCTGCAGTGACTGTGAGGCTAGCGAGCTGACAACTAGGGCGAGTGAGCGGATCTGCTGGGTTGCGCACGCCTGGCTTGTACTCTATCCTGTAATGAAAGCTCCCCTCCATGAACTCCATCCATCTAGCCTGGCGACGACTCAGCTGCGGTTGCGACTTGAGAAAGCGAAGCGAGCAGTGGTCCGTGCGTATAACACTGTCTGCCCTTTCTAGGTAGCACCTCCACACCTTATACGCATGGATGATCGCTAGCGCCTCCTTGTCGTGTATCGGATAGTTCAGTTCCGCTCCCCTAAGCTTACGCGACTCGTACGCGATCGGCTGCAACCCGCGTCCCTGGTCCTGAAGAAGCACTGCTCCTATGGCCTGATCGGAAGCGTCGGTCACTACAACGTACGGGCGAGTGGGATCGGGGTACGACAGTGTCGGTGAAGACGTGAGCGACTGCTTCATCTGCTCGAACGCCTGCTGCTGCGCTGGACCCCAAACGTACTCTACGCCTTTCCGAAGTAGGTCGGTGAGTGGACTAGCGATGGAAGCGTAACCCTGAACGAAACGACGGTAGTAATTCGCGAAACCGAGGAAGCTCTGCAACTCCTTGACTGAGGTCGGTGCTACCCAATCCTGTACCGCTGCGATCTTCTTCGGGTCGGTCCTAACGCCACTAGCGGATACGACGTGTCCTAGGAACTCGACCTCGGGGAGAAAGAACTCGCACTTCGACTGCTTCGCGTACAGCTTCTCCCTCCGCAAGACCTCAAAGACCCTCTGCAAGTGCTGCACGTGCTCCTCTTTCGACTTGGAAAAGATGAGTATGTCGTCTAGGTAAACGACAACGAACGAACCTAGGAACTCGGAGAGGACGGTGTTCATAAGCGTCTGGAACGTCGCTGGGGCGTTGGTCAGTCCGAACGGTAGAACCCTAAACTCGTACAACCCCTGCTTCGTACGAAACGCGAAAAGGATCGGTGCGGCCCAAGGCGCGAAAAGGATCGGTGCTGCCCAAGGCGACCTAGATGGCTGTATGAACCCCTGTGCGAGAAAGTGCCTAACCTGCTGCGTCATCTCCTCTGTCTCTGCTGGACTCAACCTCCACTGCGGCTTCGCTACTGGCCTGCTCCCCGGCTCCAACTCTATTCGATGGTCGACTGCTCGGCTAGGAGGTAACCCTGGGGGCAACTCGTCGGGGAAGACGTCTGCGAACTCTGCTAACAGTGCACTCACCTCAGCAGGAAGAGTCGCCTTCTCACTAACTGCTGCGCTCCCTCCTTTCCCCTCCTCAGCTTCCACCTCCTCAAGGAAAACCGCGAAGATCCGTGCCGCTCGCTTCACCAGCTGTCGCACACGAACAGCATTGATGATCGCTGTGGATGATGTGGCCCCATCGCTCCACTGTGGCAGCTCCCGGAACTCGCCATCTACCTTGACGCTGCAGCTTCCCTGAGCCCAATCGAACTGAGTTGAAACCGTCCGCAACCAATCTCTCCCGAAGATGAAATCGTATCCGTCCAGCGTCGCAGAGTCGAAGTCACGCCTAACTGTGATCGGTCCTAGCACTACGCGCAACTTGCGAATGACTGGTCCTATGTGGAGAGGCGTCCCATCTATCATGCGAGCGTCCTTGAAGTTGACTGAGGAATCTGCTTCAAGATGGAGACGGCTAACTAATGAAGACGAAACGAACGAGTGGCTAGCTCCGCTATCGACGAGAATCTTAACAGGAACTCCGCGAAGCTTCCCTAGAAGCACGACTGGACGATCAACAGTGTCTACCTCGTTCTCCGTAGATGACTGCTGCAAGGCCGTCTCCTCTACGTTGGTAGACGTGGCGGGTACGGGAACCTCCACGCCAGCTAGCGACCCGCTATCTACTGGCGGTTTCCGTTTCCCTGCTGCCGCTCCTTGAACTGTGGGCAGTCCCGCTTCATGTGTCCCGGCTTTTTGCAGTAGTGACAGTTCCCCCTAAATCCGTTGCGCTGTGAGCCGTCACTGTTAACTGCACCAATCTCCATGGGCGACGGTCCGTCCCTCGATCGAGCGTCGTTGATCGGTCTGTTGTATCCCCTATCGCGATCGTCACGACCCCGTCGGCTTCGTACTGCGTCGACGCGTTCTGCTGCTGCGACTACTGACTCGAAGGTGGACAACCCGTGAATCGCAATAATCTCCGCTATGTCCGGCTTCAACCCTTCGAGGTAGCGATCGCGCATCTCTGCTTCAGTGATGTCGTCTACCTCATTGCAGATGCTCAAGAACCGTCGTGTGTACTCCTGGACGTTTCCTATCTGTCGGAAATGACGCAGACGCTTCCTAGCAGCTTCGGAGGCGTTCACCAAATCGAACCTACTTTTCAGCGCCGCTTCAAATCCTTCCCATGTGGTCGGAACCGTGGTAACACCCAAAGCTAGACTCCCTAAGCTCGAAGTTGCAGCTGCATGCCCCACGCCCTGTTGATGCCCGTCTAACTGAGCCCTCCGTACAGCAGTCTGCGTAAGTTGGCGCCACCACTCCAAGGCCGGGCCCCTCAGCAGCGTTACGGCGTACTCGATCCGCTGCTGCGCGTCCGCCTCTTGCACCCCGCTCGCGGCGAAGTAATTGTTGAGCATGAAGAGCCACGTCCGCATGTTCGCATCGCGTTGACTTGGGTCGAACGACTCGGGCTTCTGCGGCTTGAGTGCGCTTCGACGTTCCGGCAGCGCTTCCGCGCCAGTCGACGTGGTGGGTGCAGGAGTTGGTGCGGCAAGGCCATGGGGGTTAGAAGCCAAATTGCGAAGCTGTTG